AGCGCCTCCTCCTCCTCCGCCGCCGCCGCCGCCGCCGCCGCTCGCAGCTCCGCTGCTGCCTCCGCCTCCTCCCGCGTCGCGCCCACTGCGCACGCGCGGGAGGCCGGGTCCCGCCCCTTCCTCTCGCGAAGACCCGCCTCCAGTTGCGTCACAGCCCCGTGACGTCTCTCGCGTGACCTCACCGCGGTGCAGCCGGGGGAAATGGTGAGGAGGAAAGGGCGGCCCTGGGCAGTGCTCGCTCTGTCGCCGCGTGGTCCCCACGCTGTGTGGGAGGGGTCACGAGCTGATGGGCGGTGCGAGGCTGAGAGGCTCCCGGAAGTTGGGCGGTGACAGCTCCGCCCTCCCCTGAGCAGGTTCGGAGCCCCAAGTCCCCGCGGAGGGTAGTGGAGGACTTGGCAAGACCAAGGGGCAAAGGGCGAATCGGCTCCTTCAAGGTCCGGAATATTCGTGGGCGCCTCGCCTTTTAATTCCAGGCAGAGGCAGGTGCATCTGTGTGAATTAGTGCCTGCCAGGTCGACATAGTGAGTTCCAGGCCAGCCTGGTATACATAGGGCCAGGTGCATCTCTGTGACTCCCAGGCCGGCCTGGTCTACATAGTGAGTTCCAGGCCAGCCAGGGCTACTTGGTGTATTCCAAACCAGCCAGGGCTACATAGTGAGATCCAGGCCGGCCTGGTCTACATAGTGAGTTCTAGGCCAGCCAGGACTACATAATGAGTTCTAGACCAGCCACAGCTACCTGTGAGTTCCACACCAGCCTGGTCTACATACTAAGTTCCAGGCCAGCCTGGTTTACTTAGTGAGACCCTACCCTCCTCCCCCAAATGAATACGCTTTTCCCAGGTTCCGAGAGAGATGCTGCTCCTTGGTCCCAGGCCTCCTTCTGATGATGGCTTCAATCTGTCCTCATTACTTAGGTTATTACAAGAGTACCACTGGGTCTCCAGAAAATTAAGCAGGCCTCAGTACAAACATCAGCCCCTAGTCCGGATGAAGGCTACTGGTTGTCAGGACCAACCCTCTCAAAATACAGGTTAAGATGTGAAAATTTGGGGCTGGAGAGATGGCTCAGTGGTTAAGAACACTGGTTGTTCTTGCAGAAGACCTGGGTTTCAATCCCAGCACCCACACAACTGTCCATAACTCCCATAACTCCAGTCCCAGGAGATCCAGCAGCCTCTTCTTACCTCCTCAAGTATTTCACGACCAGGGTGCATGTACTTACATGCAAGCAATACACACATAAAATAATAAATTTTTAATTTTAAAAGGTGAAAATTTGGCAAACCTTGATCTTGACTGGGTACTGTATGTGGTGTACCTAACTACCTAGTGGAGGCCCCATTTGATCAGGGGTTAGACCGTTCATAGACTCTGTTTGGCCCTTCTCTCAAGTGCTCTCGTTATCACCTGTCACCAGTTACTACTAGGTACAGAGATGGGGGTGTGTTCGGAAATGGTTCCTTGCCATTGGGATAATGGCTTAATAAAGTGCTTGCCTATAAGCATGAGGATCTGAGTTTGCCTATAAGCATGAGGATCTGAGTTCCTGTGTTCCCATCCTCATCACCCACGTTAAAAGCATGACTTGCAGCCCAGAGTGGTGGCACACACCTGTAATTCCAGCATTCCAGAGGCAGAGGCAGGCAAATCTATGTGATTTTGAGGCCAGCCTGGTATACATAGTGAGACCTTGTCTTAAAATGCTTTTCAACAGAAGATAGACTAGGAAAGGTGACCAAGGATAAATGGGTTGCCAGGAGGTTTTGGAAAAGGAAAATATTCTACCTCCTCCAGCCCCACTATTAAATAAGAGTAAAATATAATAGCTCTAGGGGCTGGAGAGCTGGCTCAGCAGTTAAGAGCACTGGCTGCTCTTCCGGAGGACCAGGGTTCGGTTCCCAGCACCCACATGGCAGCTAACAACTGTCCGTAATTCCAGTTCCAGGTGATCCAACACCCTCTTCTAGCCTCTATGGGCATTGCGTGATGTGAGTACACTTACACACATGCAGGTAAAACACTCATACACATAAAATAAAAAATTCTAATAGCTCTAAAAACCTGGTACTGAACCAATGAAGTGGCTCAGCAGGTGAGGGTGCTTGCTGCCAAAATTGACAACTGGAAACTGGAGTTCAATCCCCAGGACCCACACGGTGGGAAGAGAGCCAATTCCCAGAAGTCATCCTCTGCCCACGTGTGTCTCAGCATGCACACACACACAAACACATACAATGTAAAAATTTTTAAAAAGAATACCTCTTTTTTTTTTGGTCTTTTTGAGACAGGGTCTCCTTGTAGCCCCAACTGTCCTGGAACTCACTGTGTAGACCAGGCTGGCCTTGAACTCACAGAGATCTGCCTGCCTCTGCCTCCCGAGTGCTGGGACTAAAGGCGTGCGCCACCATGCCCGGCTAAAAAGAATGCTTCTTAAAAATTGGTACTAATCAGGTATGGTGGCATCAGCTTATAATCCTAGCACTTGGAAAATAGAGGTAAGATGATCAATATTGTTCAAGGTCAGCCTCAGCTATGTAGTTAGAGGCAGCCTGAGCTATATGAAATTCTGTTTCAAAGAGACACACAGAAAACCCTAGCTCTGAGGTCACACATGTGGGGTTCAAATTCTCATTGTGCCAACTAGTCAAAGCAATAGTATATGTTCAGTGTATTGTTTGTGAGGTTGACAATGTGTTGGCACTCAGTAATGGTAACTTGTAACATGGCAGTAGATGAGGAGATGGCCTTGGGATTAGACATTGTACAAGTAGGCAAGGGTTGTTTCCTCACCTGACCCCTCTTCTCTTGCATCCTCTTCCTGATCCTCTATGAAATCATGAGATGTGAGGCTGGGAAGATGGCTCAGTGGACAGATATTACAAAGTTGTGCTAATCGCACTGCAACCACCAGAGTTCATGGTGAGCCCTCTTGATGACAAGTGCCCAGCCTCCTTCAATCTCAGACCCCTAAATGGAAGTTCATTGGTGTCAACCCTTAAGACTCTTCTCTTCACAGCTTTAATAAAGGTCATTGTTCCTATTAGGCTATATCTTACAACAAAATCTCACATATCAAAGGTGCCCTGGGAATGTCCAACAGAGACAGTTCTTTTTATGCCGCAGTCGTACCAGTTGTGGCTGTTCATGTCATTCTTGCCCTGTTTGTCTACATGGCCTGGATTGAAGGCTCATGACAGAGGTGTGAAGGCAAACAGGATTAAAATGAACCTCACCTTTTGACAGTATGAATTCATTTTTAAATATGATAAGTACTTCTGGGGTATTGTTAATAAATGCATTTTATTTGAATAAAATTGAAAAAACAATAAAATTATTCAGGGAGTCAGTCACATTTGACTAAACTTTAACCCACTTAATTTTAACTTTGAATCTCCATTTGCAAATAAAAATTTGAGAAAAATGATATGCTAAGTGAATTAGATCTTATCCTGTGAAGAATTTAATTCTTACAACAAAAATCTTTTATAGCAATTTGACTTATACTTTCCAGTTTTATTCCTTTGGATATATTACGAAACACACAGTGAAAGAAGTCTCAATTTCCTTTTTCATTGGAAGACTTTCCCTGTCAGAAAAGTATCAGGATCTTGGATTTGAGGTTATAATTTCCTACAGAAAGTTGCTTAAATTGTGAACAATGTAATTAATATGAATGTCACTGAGTAAGGATAAATCTCACATTCCTTTATTTTTATTTTTTTGGTCTTTTTGAGACAGGGTCTCCCTGTAGCCCCAGCTGTCTTGGAACTCACTATGTAGACCAGGCTGGCCTTGAACTCACAGAAGTCCACCTGTCTCTGCCTCCCAAGTGCTGGGATTAAAGGCATGTGCCACCACGCCCAGCTAACATTCGTTTATTTAATTGGGAAAGTTGCTCAAATCACACCCATTTATGTTAAAGGACTTAGGTTTACTAAGGGCCAAGAGAAGAGCTCACTGCCAACTTTGTGACTAACACAACAATATTGCTTCCTCATTCTGCTTTGAAATTAAGCTTCAATTACAAAGATTATTTAAATTCCTTTTATTTTTTTCCTACCTATAAAACATGGTATTGATAGGTATTAGAATATCGAAGTGTTCAGTTTGTATGCATTGAGAGTGAAACAATTTAGAAATCAGACCTTGAAGTTTCTTACTGTTCTCGTCTTTTTCATCAGAGCTAAGATACATCCTGTATTTGTGGACGATCCTTGGCGTCTTTTTTTATGAGAACTCCGCCCCTAAAAATAAAAGAGTCCTGTGACTTTTCTTCAGTATCTTTAAACTTTGGTCAGACCCACCCCTCGACACTATATATATGCAATCTGAAAACACTGTCCCCAGCACTTGGGAGGCAGAGGCAGGCAGATCTCTGTGAGTTCAAAGCCAGCCTGGTCTACATAGTGAGTTCCAGGTCAGCTGGGGCTACAGGGAGACCCTGTCTCAAAAAGACCAAAAAAAAAAAAAAAACCACTGTCCCCCAAAATTTTATTTCTCAGTAGAAAATTATATATGTTCTATAAAACACTACACAAATTCATATTAAGGCAGAAAGAAAATAAAAATTGCCCAATAATGTTGCTACCTGAAGATAATCACTTAGTTTATGACCTGTGTGCAGTTTTGACAGGTGTTTCCTGATGCTAGTTCCAAAGACACTACAACCTTGATTTAAGTTCAAATTCTGCCAACTTTACCAGAGAACTGTTTACGGTTTTTTAAATATACGGTTACTGGTCATCATTGTCTTAAAAAGCACATTGCTTCTGGGCTGGAGAGATGCCTCAGAGGTTAAGAGCACTGACTATTCTTGCAGAGGACCCAGGTTCAATTCCCAGCACCCACATTGGTACGAACCATCCTTAACTCCAGTTACAGGGGAATCCAAAGCCCTCTTCTGACCTCTGCGGCATTGCATGACATGGG